TGCACTTACCAACCCACGCACACGCACACACACACACACACACACACTTGCACGCACAAGACACACATAAAAAACAACAAAAACACACATGCACAAATCATACATTAAAAAGGAAGAACATCACGTACCGCTTCGAGCAGGTCGAGCAGCGCGAAGTTAGGCTTCAGCGTCCAGAACTGGTCGCGGTCCTGCCGGCAAGAAGGGCACCGGAACACACTCTTGCGGTTCTCCGTCCCTTGAAGGAAAGATTTTTTATTGACTCCAGCAATTTATCTTTTCCTTCATGGGTTCATTTATTCATTGATTTAAAAAAAATCTATCTATTCATTCTATTTATTCATCTATATCTATTTATTTACTATTTCTTAGATATCTTAATTTATTCTATCTACGTATTTATCTATTTATCTATTTACTCATCAATCCATTTAATCATTCATTTAATCATTATTCACACACATACATAATGTATATAGTATACCCTGTTACTTACTCGTTGTATATTTCTCTGAAATTAACATAATTATTGCAAAAATAAAGCGGGGAAAAAAAAACGAGGCACCAAGACATTGGAAAACAAAGCCATAACACTCACCCCCCAAAAAAAAGGAACACACCAATACAGAGACCACACTTCAAGACAAACAAATTTCACAGAAAGACAAACAACAGAAACCTTACTAAGGCATTCCTCGCAGAAGGTGTGGCCGCAGCTGGAGAAGATAAGCGGACGACGATCGTGCGCGTTGTAGGTCGACCTGCAGACTGCACAGGTTATCCCTGAGGGAGCCTGCAAAACACGGTGTCCTGTATATTAGTCCACAGTTTCTGCCTGCCCCATTTCGCTCTATTACTTTCTCTTTCTATGCTTCACATACTTCATGTAAATAATATATACATATACATATACATGTAAATATATGTGTATACAGCTGTCTACACACACACACACACACACACACACACACACACACATATATATATATATATATATATATATATATATATATATATATATATATATATATATAAGATACTTCACAGAAAGTGGTTGTGAACGATGTCATTGTCGGTATCCTTTCGACGACCTGATAACTTGCTGCGCAATAAGTTATGGCCCTGCAATACATCCCCACGAGCGGCTGGACCATCGATTATTATCAAGGGGGCGGGGGGGGGGGGAGGTGCCCAAGAACGTGGCGTCACCAAGCAAACGTCGCAACTGAACCGGCTGGGATAATGTGTATAATAATCTATAGCGCTGCCAGTCTGGAAACATGACGCGGTTCGCCTATTAACGCGGTAGACTGGCTGGGCGCCACAGGCAGGTCAATCTGCAGGGGGAACTGCAGCCGAAAGGAGTCTCCGCAAGACGAGGCCTCTGGGGGTGATCTTCGTGCGTTCCCAAAAGGTGGGAAGCTACGGACGTGCCCGACCTCGGCTCATCCTCAATGCGACCGCGCCGTATTAAGGATGAGCCCAAGGGGCGAGGCCCTTGAGGCGGAGTCGACGATCGTTGATGGCCCTTGCCTCTGTCGGGTGGAGCTCGCATGCAGTTATCAGAGCGCCTTAAGTCGCCTCATTTCGTCTGATTTTGTGCGTTTCAGGCGAGGGTCTCTTAATACATGCCGTGAACTGGCAGATCTCCATTAATAAAAGGACATTTATGCTGGCTAAAGACGAGAGAGTGGTTGATGGCTTTCAGCCATTACTATACAAAGGAGGGACTCATACTATCGAGACTTTAGATGTCATGAGCTTGTGAAAAGCATTTCCCATATGGCTCGATGCAGGACAAGGTCAAAATGGTCTTAAAAGTCTCTTTTATAGGATTATTATGCCAATGATGAAGGCGCTTCGGATTGGAGGTGAGGCAGGCAGGCGACAGGCGGTTGGATTAGTAACTAACACTTTTTTGCTGTTTCGCGGTAAGAAGTCCGGGACATTATCTTATCTGCGCCATTGAATGAACTGGTCGTGAAGGGTTGTAAAACTAATTGTCATGGCATTACTGAATTCTAAGGATTTCGGTTTTCTACCGCTTTTATTTTAAATATCTGATTTTTATAAATGAATAGCAATTTGAAGATCACAACTTTTTATTAATACATAAAAAAAAGAAACACATGCGTATATGCCTTCGATGGCTCAGGACGCAGTTATTGAAGTGGTCTTTGTCTTAATCTATTCAGAAGCACTGAAAAATAATTTTTGTTTTATTCTTCCTATTATGAGAAATCAAAAGGTGAAACGGTTTGATAAGCGTACTTTTCAAGTAGCTAATGCCGACGAAAAAGATTAAACGAGGTAGTTGCATATATTTTTTTCTCATTAGCCATCTACACTGATTGATTTCCTATTTTCCAGTGAAAAAAAAAAAACATCTACACACAACGATTTGGTCCAATAGCCTAAACTATACGTTTCGTTGATACCTTTTACCTACAAATATGCAAACTATATAGTATTCCTGTAAATGTTTTTTAAATCAACATTACCTGGTTTTCAGAGCTGTTCTCGTAATGCTGATCTGACGAATAAAAATTTTCCTGGAAAAAAGAAAAATGCTATTAACATGCATGTATTGTACATACAGTACCTGCTTGATTCTTTAATTGTTTTTGTTTTCTATATATACCGTATACCTATAAACCAGCACAAAAAAAAGACAAGAGGAAGGAATTAGACGAACAAAACAAACACAAAAACGCCGCCTTGCCTCGTGCACACGCGCGCCTGAGTCCTGGCGGAGGCCTCCTTGACCCAAGACGTCGCGAATGCTCTCTCGCAGGTCTCGCGAAGTCCCTGACGGCAGGCTATCTAGCGCTGTCAGCAGTCTTATCAGCAGCTCGAGGGTTTTGTTCAATTTTTCTTGGCTCTGCAAAACAACGAAGGTATATATAGCGACTGAGGATGAATTCGCAGCTATTATTTAAAGAAAAATTGAAAGGAAAATGGTCTGCAGCACAAGGTAGTGAAGGAGGAAGGGGAAGAGGAGTTAACGGAGGCTGAGGAGGAAGAGGAGGAGGAGGAGGAAGAAGAAGAAGAAGAAGAAGAAGAAGAAGAAGAAGAAGAAGAAGAAGAAGAAGAAGAAGAAGAAGAAGAAGAAAGAAAAAGAAGAAGAAGGAGGGAGAAGAGGAGCTGGAAAAGAAGACAACGAAAACGAAGAAAAACAAAAGAAGGAGGAGGAGGCGAGAGAACAAAATACAAATATACGTAAATAGAAAATCGAGAAAAGTATGTTCCTTTTACCGATGTCCCCAAGAACAGATACCAACAACAGCGTAACTCTCTTATTTGACAATCATTAATACAAATTATTATTGACTCACCTCAACTAAGGCGTTGATTTTCTCTGAAGTCCGGTCTTGTTCCTTCCGAAGGGCGCATATGTCCTGTTAAGTGAAGGACACTCTGTTATGTAAATTCACTCACACAATTATTGGCATGTATATTCTATATATATATGTGTGTGTTATATGTATGTATATACATGTGTGTGTGCGTGTGTGTGAGTGTGTATTCCCCTTTCGCTCTTTCTCTTACCCTCTATTTCTCTTCCCTTCTCTATTCCTACTTCTATCTTTCTCTTCATCTCATCCTCTCTTTTCCCCTCTCCATTCTCCCCTCTCTCTTTCATCTCCCTCTCTCTCTCTTTCTCTTTCCCTCATTTTCTCTCTTTCTCCTCTCCACCCTCCTCTCTTTTCACTCTCCCTCTTTTTTTACCTTCCCTCTCTCTTTCTCTTTCCTCATTCTCTCTCTTTCACCTCTCCATTCTCCTCTCCCAGTCTCTCTCTCTCGTTCTCTTTCTTTTACCTCATTCTCTCTCTTCCCCCTCTCCATCTCTCTCTCCCTTTCCCTCATTTTTACTCTCTCCTCATTCACTCATTCACTCACTCACATACTCAATTACTCCCTCCTTCCCTCTCTCCTTGCTTCCCAGTTTCTCTCTCTCTCCATCTCCTTCTCACCTCTTCATCCTCCTTTCCTTCATCCTTCTCTTCTCACCCTTGTTTGTTATTCCTTCCCGTCTTCTCTTTATTCATCCCACCTCTTCCGGCTATCTTTCCATTTAACTTCCCTCCTTCGCTCTATCTCTTCTCTCCTTTTCCTCCCCCTTCCTTCCGTCTTTCCTTCCTCCGTTCCATCTTTCCTTTCTTCCTAATTTCCTCCCTCCCTCCCTCCTACCCTCCTTTACTTCTTCCCTCCCTCTCTCCCTTACTCACTAAACCCCTCCTTTCTTCCTTCCCCCCACACTTCCCTCCCTTCATCTCACCTTCTTTTTCCCTTCCCTTCCTTCTTTCATTTCTCTCCCTCCTTTTCCCCTCCCTGTACTCCCCCTATCTTTCCCTTCCCTTCCTTCTCCATTTCCCTCCCCTCAATCTTTCGCCCCTTCCCTTTCCTTTCCCCTCCTCTCTCCTCCCTCCCCCTACCCTTCCCTTCCTTCTCTCCATCCATCCACCCTTCTCTCCACCCACCCCTTTCTTTTCCTTCCCTTCCTTCCTCCATTTCCCTCCCTCCTCATATCTTTACCTTCTCCTTCCCGCCTTCCCCTTCCTCCTCCAATCTTCCTTCCCTCCCTCCCTCCAATCATCCATCCCACTCTTCCCCTTCCCTTCTG